CGCTTGAGCCATAAAAATTTCAAGCCTGTTGAGGAACTCTTCTGAAAGCCCTCCATTTTCTCAGGTGTGAACCCTCTATTAAATAAATGCGTACCAGCTACATCAATTGTGTGCGGCTTCAAATTTTTACACTTACGACACGGGCACACCATCACTCCGGTCCGTTGAATTGTAGGCACACTAACCCGCTTGAGCAATGAAAATTTCACGCCCGTTGAGGAACTCTTCTAAAAGCCCACCATTTTCACCTCTATGTCGATACATCCAGCTTCTTAGTTCGTATATATCGCCCATCTTATTCAGAAAATGTAACTAAGAAAATTTATTGAAAGATTTTTTTTTTCAATGATTTTTGGTTTCGGGTGGTTTTGGGGATGTATTTATAAGAATTTTTAGCAGCGATTTTGCTTCGAATTTGCATCGAAATTTAGCATCGAATTATTTTGCGTCGACTTTGCTTTAAATTCGCGTCGAATTTGCGTCGGTTTTTTGCGACGCTATAGAAGTAGGTGAACCCATTAAAAACGTGCCACCTACCTACCAACTTCGACGCAATATTCCACGCTATATCGGACGCTATTTTGCCGACGCTAAATCGACGCTAATTTTTTTTATTAATAATTTGATGCTAAATCGACGCTAAATTGCATCGATTTAGCGTCGCTATTTTTTGTACCAATTTTGCGTCGAATGTTTTGAACGACACAAAATCGACGCACAGTCGACGCTATATTTGCGTCGACACAAATCCGACGCAAAATTTCGACGCTAAAACTGTGTTTTCTTGTAGTGGATAGGACAAATTTGGGTGAGACCGAAAATTGTTGTTGTTGTTGAAATTCCGATTCCCATAGTTTCCTCCTATGTAGTTCATTTCCTCTTGATTCTCCTCCATTTCATCTCCAATACGTTCTATATTAGGGTCATAACTTTCATCATTAACGTCTTCAACGGCACGAACTCTCCTATTTGGCTTCTAAGTAGTTGTGAAACCATGTTCTTGAGCTCCGCGAATTAAGTTGAATCGGTTGATGATCTAG